CTTGCGGAACCCGGCGAAACCGCCAAACACAAAGGGGAACACTGGACTACCGCCAATAAAGCAAAGAAAATGACGAAGAAAAAAAAGTAGTACGTATTTTTATGTGTGTAAATCACGTGCCCGCTCACGAGCGCTCACTCTTAACAGACACACTGTCCCCGGTGCTGCTCGCACATAAAGCGCTCCCCGTTCACAGTAACCGTGTCGTCTCATTCAAAACAGCCAACTGTTGCTGTTAGCGAGCCGCGCACATTGAATACTCATTATGAGTCAGGCTGCGAATGTACGTGCCAGCTTCAGCTCTCTCATGCTTACTAAATAAACGCCTCACCTCCGGCGCCGCGCACTCACTACATTCCCTTTAGCCTTTAGCACATAGTGGATGAATAACGCAAACCCAGTCAAACGTTTGACTGCAGTATCTTGTGTGCTTTATAATCCGGTGCGCTCTATATATGAAAAATGTTCTAAAATAGGTCATTCATTGAAGTAGCGTAATATTCATATTTATATTCGTCTGTATAATAGTTATGGACCACGATTACGCTTTGCCTGCACGTTCTGCTGCTACAGCCAGCTCATTAGCTAAAGCTCAAACATACCTGAAAAATATGACCCGAGAAGGGTTTGGGACAGGAGAAGCATGACACAGGTAAACATTGGGGTTGCATTTAAAGCTTCTTGACAAGCTAAATCTACAGAGAGATGCCGTATATCCGTATAGTTTGTGAAACGATGATGTCCATGTCATGAGCTGAGCTGGTTGTCATTGACAGCGACAACAACTCCCGTGAGCCCACGCTCTTTCCCGACGTCATCAAAGTACGTCTTTTGTTATTATTTTAAACGAGTGACCCCTGGTGGCCAAAAATCGCATACCGTACGTTTAACTTTAGAGTTAAAAGAATCAAGGAGAAAATCAGCAGATATGAAGATATATAAAGATATATCCTTCATAAATATTTAAGCATCTCTTCTTGACAGAAACAGACAAGAGGTTGAGCACCTTTAAACACAATATCTATAGATATTCGAAAGACGGGGGCGAGGGCGAGCTGGACCCGCAGGCTTTGGTGGTTGTGGGGCCTGCTGGGGGCTTGGGGGAGTGCACGCTCGCAACGGGGAAAGCATGAAGCTTACTTGACAACATCAGTTCATATATCAATATCGTAACAAATAGAAACAACCTTAACTAATGTATGGTTCTCTGCCTCTTTCCATCTCTTATGCATTACGTTAGTTACCTTTTTAAAGATTACCACAGCATAAAAATTTACTGTAGTATAAAAAAGAATTGTCAACATTGATGAAAAAAAGATAAAGAAAAGATAAAGATAAAGAAAAAAGTACTGTGACATCGTGTACTTTCTGAAGAGGGGGTTTGTGTCTCATTGTGAACAAACAACAAGGCACTGCTTGTTCAGACCATAACAGGCTTGGAGCGAGCACTTGTAGGAGTGAAATTTGATCTCTATTTGTTCTCTTTGCGGTCTAGGCGGGAAATTTGAAATATTGGTAACACTTTACAATAAAAAGGTTCATTAGTTAACATTAGTTAATGTATTTACTAACATGCACTAACCATGAGCAATACATTTGTTACTGCATTTGTTCATCTTTGTTAATGTTAGTTCATGAAAATACAGCTGCTCATCATTTGTTCATGTTAGTTCACGGTGCATTAACTAATGTTAACAAGATTTTAATCAAGTATTAGTAAATGTTGAAAATAACATTAACAAAGATTAACAAATGCTGTATATGTGCTATTCATTATTAGTTCATATTAACTAATGTAGTTAACTAATGTTAACTAACGAACCTTATTGTAAAGTGTTACCGAAATATTAAAAAGAAAATTCCCTTTCTCGACTTTTGTGTTGTAATAGCAGCTGGATAACATCACAGCTTTACACTGTAACTCCGATCTAATCTTTAATGTCCACCTTCAAATTTAACTGAATAGTTTTCATCTTGACAGAATTGTTAACTTCATGCACATACCATGACAATCTGATAATATGCTTTCAAGGACTATTCATAATCGTGAATATAAGTGATGCATCATTATGTGATTGATGGTTAAAATCATATCACTTACTATGTTCTTTTATTATTAGTTTATTACTATTAATAGTTTTCTCCATTAATTTTTTTTCACTGTTATTATTACTGTTTTTTCCTTTTATTTTATTTTTTCTCTTGACCGTCTGTAAAGCACTTTGGATCAACAAATGTTGTGTTTATGTTGTGCTCTATAAATAAATTGACTTGACTTATGTTGTGCTCTATTGATATAAAGACCGGTACTCTTATAAGAAATTCTCTTATGTTTCAGTTGTTTGATTTTTTTTTTTTTTCCATCAAGATCTCACGTTTCCTTTAATCAGGTCAAGACATCCTGTGAAATCAGACATCGGAGATCATCCTTTGTGGCGTGTTGCCCTATTATTCTTGCAAGTCACTGCTGCATGCAGAGACACAACTAGTTTGACCCATAAATGTGCTTAAACACAAGGGAGTGCTAACACTCACTTAGAAAGCAAGAATTTTGCGAATTCTGCCAGATTGTACACATGTTTTCTGTGCATGTATGTGAAGGCTGGAACTCTCAAGGTTCATTGAGCTCTCGGGGATCACTTCTCCTCTGGCTCAGACTTGCCTGAGCAGCCTAAGGAACAGTGATATCGTGGATGTCATATTCCCTGAAGCATTGAGTTTTTAAAGTAATAATATGTAAGATTTTTGGATTAAATTAAAAAATAAAACAGTAGAATAATGTTATATATTTTGTTGACTTTATATTTACATTATACCAAATGTTTCCTATAATGTTAAAATGCAGAATTTTCAGAGAAATCAGCCATTTTAAACAGTGCAATGTCCCACGTCACTGCATCGGCTGTCAATGACGTCAGATCTGTGTTACCCTCATTTTCTGCGAAGACTCTTCAATATTATGAATTCTCTCAGGACCATTGTCATTAAAGATGATTGAGGATTAGCATGCAGTTAGGATTGGCGGTATAGCTTAGCAGTATGTAGCCTAGCATGGATAAGAACAGGGATAGCAGCGAGAACCCCCCTTAGGGTAAACCGAACACAACCAACATGAATGTATTGCAGATATCATTATTCAATATTTTATTGTACAACATAATTTGAGAATTTAGTTTGATTCCAAGGGGAATCAGAATGCCAAATCCTGACTGCAAGAGAGGCGGAGCTGGGGAGGGAGGAGGGTAATTCGATCCTGAAAAATGCAATAGCTGCTGATAATAACGAAGAGCATATATATACAGTGATAGACGTCGCATTCCTATTGGTAGACGTGGATCAGCTGAAAGTCAGCTGATGCGAGCTTGACTAACGTGACCTGCCAGAACTAACACTATGCTTGATATGTCTTATTAGACCGATGAGCAGTTGTTTGGATACAATTTTTGACAGAAAACTAATTATACAGCTCAAAATGGTTATTTGTTTAGTTTGAATATCTTGTTCTCTTGATTTACCACCACACTTTAGAGACAATACTATTTTTGCAGCATTTTCGCCATCATACAGTATATTTTCAAATTAATTGCATGCCATTTACTGTAGCAACACAAATCATTCAGCTTTTTTTAATGGGATATTCTAATATCAATCTAGCTTACGATGTGCAATAAGTGTCTCCTCCCAGCCCCCGAGCTAATGATGAAGTGGATATAATGTTATAACATGACTTTCAACATAATCAACAGTGTTGTAGTCGAGACCACCTCACTCGAGTCCGAGTCGAGACCGAGACCAGAGAGAGTCGAGTCCGAGTCAAGACCGAGTCCATAGAGAGTCGAGTCCAAGTCGAGTCCGAGACCAGAGATGGTCGAGTCCGAGTCGAGACCGAGACCAGTGAGGGTTGATTACCTAATTTACTTTTATTTACTTAGAGAAATCCTTTTTTTATTTTACTGAATTTACTTAGAGTTTAAAAAAATATGATCAGTTTAGGGTAAAAAGGCCACATAGTAGGTGGTGTTAAAAGTAATTTTATTACAGTTTGTCATGCGCAGTTGCGCACTAGAAAATCACCAATCACTGGGCGTGTCAATCAATTTAAAGAAATATTTTATTAACATACATTAATAATCATGAAAAATATTTTGAATTGAACTCGAGTGGACTCGGGAATAAGTCCGAGTCCTAAAAAAAATGTTCGAGTACGAGTCAATTCCGAGTCCAAATGGACACGAGTCCATGACAAGACCAAGACCATTAAAATATGGTCTCGAGACCGAGTCCGAGACGAGTCCGAGTCTCGAGTACTACAACACTGATAATCAAATGTATTTTTAGTATTATTTTTCCCTAGCTTTACCGCGCAATTTTACTTCGTCAAAGTGTCATAGAAATTAAGTATTTGCAGCTGTTACATTAGAATGAAATAAAGTCATGGAATTTAAGTGATCAAACATTAGTGTAACAAATTTCAGGGAAGAAGGAGGCGGGCGTTAAATGTAACTTTAGTTGTAAAAATACATAAACAAACAACAAAACAAAAGGAGTGGCGGCGGCTGACTGGGGCTTATCAGCATGTTAAAAACGTCCCATCTGAGTCCTGTCGGATACCTTGGAGGTGAAGATGACAACTCCCATGATTCCGCTCATTCACGGCATCATTTGTTATTGTTTTAAATAAGTGACCTCTAGCGTTGAAGCTTACGCACTGTGCCTTTAATGCCTTTGATGAATCGAATAATATTTTGGCATCAGCAAAAAAAGGGGGTTGGGGGAGGCATCTTTGTTAAAGCTGTGTTTTGTTCGGTTAACAATAATGAATGACATAGACAGCTATAGCAGCAGCCAGTCACTGCTGATCATGAAAACTGCTGATTGTCATGAAAATAAAGTCAGCACAGCATCCAAATTGAATGTAAACAACAAACATTTTTTAACGCAAAATATAATTATTCTTTTTCTTGTTATTTTGGGATGATAACAGATTGTAACCCTATGCTAAAGTGGTGATGATATGTGTTGTGTTCACAGGGACATGCTGCTTCAGGGGGGCTCAGCAGTGGACGCAGCCATCGCAGCGCTGCTCTGCACTGGACTGGTCAACCCACAAAGCATGGGCTTGGGTGGAGGGGCCATCTTTACCATCATGGACAAAACAGGTTTCTCCTTGTTTATGAATTGTGAAAAGCACTAATAATTTAAGTAAAAAAAAATGTTTGTTTTGGCCTGTGCTGTCAAAATTGCATCATAAGAAGTCATAAAACATCATTGGTAAGGCTGCTGGATAAGTTTAATGGAAAGCTAGACTTTCTGTTGAAAAATCCAGCATAGACCAGCAGGAATTATGTTTGGTATTGACTTGTTTATGCTATTCTGAGCCGGTTTCCCAGCTAACAAAAACATGGGTAGCACTTTTTTTCGATGGTCCAGTTTAGACGTTGGACTAAGTATAAATAACTTTGCAACTTCTGTACATGTTATGTCATTAGAGTATTAGTAAACTGTCTGCTTAATTTGTGCTAACACTTTTGATGCTCCCCCAACAGACATTCTACCAACTAAGTAACTTTCATACATTCCATAAATACAACTATACTTGTAACATAAAACTATACAGTACATATCAACTTAATATACTTTCTCAAATCTAGTCAAGTCAAGTCACATTTATTTATAGCTCTTTTTACAATACAGATTGTATCAAAGCAGCTTCACAGTGAGAACATGAAAATAATACAATACAGATAATATTGTTGAATATTAAATGTCCCCAACTAAGCAAGCCAAAAGCAAGGCAACAGTGGCAAGGAACCAAAACTCCATCAGGCGAATGAAACTCTAACAGCTAAATCTAACCTAACAGTCTACTACCAGTCTTCTAGTGTATACTAATACTCTATTGAGAATTAATTGGCATGTAGTTGCAAAGTTACTTGTAGTTAATAAAAAGTATAAAGTGAAGCATTGAAATAAAGTGTAACTAACAATAACATTGTTTTGCTAACATTCCCATTAGGTTCAAAACGTCCAGTTATTTAAACATTTTTAAAACGTTTTTTTTTTTTTTTTGAACATTCCATTTGATCATTTTGCAAACATTATGGGAACATTACTTTTTAATGTTCTCGGAAACATTTGTAAAACATTAGACGACCATCCCATCCAACAAAAAAAAAAAAAGAAAAATGTGACCCTGCCTGTGAAAACCCAGCTAAAGTCATTTTTTTGTGATTCACTGTTTTCTACATACAATCATCCTACATAATGTAAAGAACATTCTGTGAAAATATAACCTTGATATCTTTAATATTGACTGAGTAAGGCTGTGTCAAAGATTTGCTAAATTCCGGGCTCAGAAAATCATGTTTTGGAGAAATTCCATTTTTAAAAAAAGTTTATTTTTAAAACTGCAACACATTTGATCCATAATTATCCTCCATATGTGCCATATACCACATTAAAGCTGAGATTCTCCCTTTTTTAGTGATATATGACACATTTTGGGGAAAATTCTTAAAGTTTTATAAAACAGGCCTATTTATTATGATGTGCATGTCCAAAAAGCTAAAAACATTGAAACGAATGGGGCTTGATTGTAGCAACAATTATCATGTCAATTCAGTGGAATGATTTGTATAACTTTATTAGTAAAATGAAATATCAGTGCAAATATAATATCAATAATATATCAATATCAAATAATTAACATGTAACATTTCGGCAGAAAATCTCATTCTCTTACTGGGCCACGGTGTAACATTGAGTAAATCTGGAGTAAAAAAAATTTTTTTTAAAAAAAATTAAAAAAATAAGTCAAGGGATAGTTCACCCAAAAATTTTAATTCTGCCATTATTTACTCAGCCTCATGTTGTTCCAAACCAGTTTGAGTTTCTTTCTTCTGTTTAACACAAAATAAGATATTTTAAAGGATGCTGGTAACCAGACAGTTGGCGGCACACATTGACTTAGTAGGAGGCGAAAAAACACTATGTAAATAAATGTGTGCCGTCAACTGTCTGGTTACCAGCATTCGTTAAAATATCTTATTTGTGTTCAGCAGAAGAAAGAAACTCATATAGGTTTGGAACAACATGAGGGTGAGTAAATAATGACAGAATTCAAATTTTTGGGTGAACTATCCCTTTAACAGGTCAGTCTCAAATTTCGTACACATTCTAAAATTGTCTAGATGCAAAATATTTAATAATCTCATAGATTCTATTCACAAAAGTCTGTGATCCTTTTTTTGATTTAGTGGTTTCTTCCCCAGAGTGCAAGTGTCTTTGTATTGGTACTAAAACTACCATGTCTAGTACAGTATTGTCCATCTCCAAATGACTCATCCTGAGTGACAGCAACTCTCCCTCCTTGAAAAATGAAGAACACTTTTCAGCATTGAAATACTTGCAGTTGCAAGAGAAACTTATTTTCAGTTTCACATCTGGACTTCCAGCATTAGAAGGAAATTCTTCTTGTTGGTGTTCCCTCTTCAGATTCGCCAGTCTATAATAGGTTGAGGTTCAATCACCAAAACTGGCTCGTCCTCATCATCATGTTGGTCACTGCCTGAAAAAACAAGGATATTTTTTTCAATTCAAAGGAAGAGACCTAAATGGAGAACTAAACATGGGGGGCGGGGGGATTTATCCATTTTAAATCCACATTTAAAATGAATAATGAAGCATTTTATATGAAAATATTAGACTGGATCTGATTTATTGAGGGGAGGGCAAGAAACAGGTATGGCTACATGGCCCTGGCTTCAATTCAGAGTGTAATCAAACAAATAAACATCATGTCATAAAAGTAATTCATTTAAACTGACTCAATTCCAACCAACAAACGTAATAAACATTTAAATCCACTATGTTTGCATCATAGTTTGAATTCTGTGTTAGCATTACATATTCAGCATTAAAAAAATTATAATGACAAAAACTTACCGTCAAATTCCTCTTCAGTTTCGTCAAAGAATGTGTCCTGTTGATCATCACCATTATCCTCCAGAAAATAATCCGCTATAAAACCGCTTAAATCATAATTTGGGCAATTCCACCGAGATTAATATTTAAGCAATCAGACATTTTACGTTCTTGCTCATGCGTCGGTGCTGCCATGTCAGATGTCAAAACGACGCAGTTAACAGTTAATCCAGCTAACGAATTATATTATTGACACTTATAAGCAGGGGCGTAGCCAGGACATTATTTCTGGGGGGGCCAGCTTGTGCCAGTCTTTTATTTGGGGTGGCACTTGATTGTCAAAAACTACTATTACTAAAACTCACACGCGGCTCGTCAGGCCATAAACAATGGATTGAACTCCCTTATGACACTAATAATGTCTAATTGATAAATGTGCGAGTGCAATGTGTCATCATTATGTGAGGGGTTAGGGACCTTAACATGAGACAGGGATGTTTTTAGTGCAAATGACAGAAAGACACAATATGAATTGTCATATTAGGCGATAATTTATTTAGGTAAACCATTGCATTTTAAGTGCAACATCCAATTTATTTGTACAACAAGTTACAACGGTTGCACAAATCATAACTAGATCATGTAGTAACACTTGAGTCATTACTAGTTAGTTCCAATGATCTTCACTTTATAATACGGATCCAAATAATTAGTAATTCCCACAGAAGTATCTAACACTTTCATCTGTGAGCTATTACTTACTAATTATTTGGATCTGTATTATAAAGTGAAGATCATTGGAACTAACTAGTAATGACTCAAGTGTTACATGATCTAGTCATGATTTGTGCAACCGTTTGAGATTTATGGTGAACTTTAGTAACTTTTAGAAAATGTCTTTAGTAACACTTGAGTAATTACTAGTTAGTTCCAATGATCTGCACTTTATAATATGAATCCAAATAATATAGTTATTCCCACAGAAGTATCTAGTAACACTTTCATCTGTGAGCTATTACTTACTAATTCGTTAATAAGAGTTTATTTTAGTTAATAGTAGTTACTAGATTGTTAATAAACTTTTTCAGTAGTTCTCTGGGAAGTATTAAAAAAATAGAAGTTATTGATTACTTAATAGTGAACTACCACTTTCATCTATGCGCTTTTACTTACTAGTTTGTTAATCAGAGTTTCTTGTTAGTTAATAATAGTTACTAGATTGTTAATATTGTGTTACTCATTGGTTCTTGTGTAGTTATTCATTAACGAAGGAACCATATTCTAAAGTGTTACCCTGAAATGTTCTGTTCGCTTTGTGTCTGCTGTAACAATTACACTCTTAGAAGAAAAGGTTCAATATAGAACCTTAAGGTTCTAAAGCGCTACGTATTTGGAACCCTTAAAATGCAATGCATGTGAATGATCACAAAATTCAATATATGGTGGTTAAAAAATGTAATTAATCAATATCAGACGAAGAGTGCCATTTAACTTTTTATCCTCTAAAAATCTGCATGATTAAAATGTGATATTAAGTTACTACAACAATTTAATAAACAATAATTTAATAACAACTACAAATGTTGCAGAATAATGTAATATATGAATGAATAATAGCCTTTAAAAAACCTTTGAGCCAAAAGGGTTCTTTCTGGTCAGTTTTGAACCTTTTTTAGCATAAAATGTCCTTCGTAGTTGATTAAAGAACCCTATGCTATATGGGGCCGTTTACACCTGGCCACTATATGCGTTTTCTGTGATCGGATAGCTATCCGATCGTGAAAAGACCAGGTGTAAATGCCCCCCGAAACGCATTCGAGACGGATTTGGATCCGATCACTCAAACCACTTCAGAAGGTGGTCTGGGCCGCATTCCAGACGAAACTGGACAAGTGTAAATGCATCTTGTTCTTGAAACCACATATGTAAATGTTAATACTCCCAAAAATGCTTAAAAAAAAAAAGAAAAAAGAAACGCGTGAGAGCGTGTTACAGGCTACATGATATGACGACGCTACTGCGACGCGCATCACCTCAGATGAGCGGCTGAACGCAAGCCAACGCGCCGCAATCTATCGCAAATCAAAGTGAAAGTAAGTCGCAGACGATTAACACAACCATCTTCATTAAAAGTAAAGAAACGAAATGATCTTACCAGTTCTGTTGTCGCTCTCTCTTATCACCGTCTTTGCTGATTTTGAAATTAGCCGATGATCAATAAAATCCAGGTCATATCTGTTGCTTTCGGTGACGTGCACTTCATTAAATCTGTATATAACGCGGGAATCGAAGATCGGATTTATATCCATTTTGCAAAAACACATTTATGTGACCAGGTGTAAATGGAATCGTTTTGATAAATCAGATAGCTATCCGATCTGAGAAAACGCATGAAGTGGCCAGGTGTAAACAGCCCAAGCGCTGTCAGAATGCAGGCACGTTATGTCTCGCACTGTTGATGGGGGCGAGACCCAACAAGTGACAAATCAATGACTTGATTAAAAAATGCATACATTTCAGCTTCCTTTTTAGACCGTTACTGGAGTTTTTATATTTATTTTTTATTATTATTAAATTTATTTTCCCGTGAGGTTGGGAGGGGGGGCCGGCAGGGGGGCCGAGCCTTGACCAATGGTGGCCGTGGCCCCCCCTGGCCACCATGTAGCTCCGCCCCTGCTTATAAGACACAAATATAATATAATATAATAATATTATTGGCAGAATACAGAGCTACAAAACACATAAGCTGTTCTTAAGTTAAATGTTTGGCGATGACACGGAAACACCTCCTGAGATCTGAACCGGCCGGCTGAATGAAGTCGCTTTTTTTCCATTGTGTTGACCTGATTGCCACTCGTGCGGATTGATTTTAAGGTCTGTTTACTCTTTCTAATAGAAAATAAGTCAAAAAGAAGTTCCTGAACTGAATGATAGGAATCAGCAAGTGTTGTTGCGCTGAAAAATAAACCCGGATACGATTGAAATCAATGTTAAAGCCCGCGTCCGGTTTTTTTTTTGCTGCGCAAAAGTATAACGTAGTGTCAATAAAATCATTAATTTTAGTATTTATCATGTTATAAATTAAAATTTGAGTATTGAATCTCAAAACCCTTGCAATAATCTATCATTTACAGCAATAAACGCACATTACCTATTTTTGTCATTTTTATGGCTATGACTACTTTGACGCTCTTTTATTCATAATTAGATTCTGCGACTTTAGCCGGGGTTCCACAGGCGGGGTCACAAATGTATAAATAACAGTTTGTGCTAACATTTATTAAAGACCAGATAACTCTGGATTTTTCTGCTGGGCTGACCTGTTAGTTAAAAGTTGTTCTTAACCCTCTGGGGTTGTTCGTTTCAGAGTCACACTCGGGGTGTTCGGGTCCAAATGGACCCAAAGGGTGGGATTCATATTTAAAAAAACAAAAATCATGATTTTTTTTTTTACTCGTTTTTCTAATATTTTTTCTTTTCTTTTTTGGTGTTTTGAGAAAATTTCAAAAAAAAAAAAAAAATTATAATTAGTATTAATGCAATAATTATGACAAAATGTCCCCCCATTGAACATAATAGAAAAAATATTTTTTTTAATATTTTTTTTTTTTTAAAGCTGTATTTCATTTTAGAGTCAAGCCTAGGCCTCATAAAAGCAATTTTTAGCATTTTAAAAATGCAAAACACATGTATAATCTGAATTGTTTGGTGTGTTTGTGTATAAAAGTGTGTTTGTGTATGTGTATGTGTGTCTGGATGTGTCTGTTTTGCACTCTTGATGTTTTATAGATTCACCCCTTCACTGTTGTGTGCTTTTTTTCAAGATCGTTGCTGATTTGTAGATTGTACGCACAAAAAAAACTCAGTATTTTCACATTTTTGCCAATTTCCCATTAATTTTCCATGTGGGTCCATTTGGACCCGAACACCCCAAGTGTGACTATTTTTTTTTACAACCACTTAGACTACTCACATCCTGTCCCCAATTTTTTGGGGTCTTCAAATACCAAATATCAACAAAGTCACCAAATTTCGGACCATTCCGAGGAAGCTGTGATTTTTAAAAAAAAATTATTTAAGTTCTTCGGGTCCATTTGGGCCGAACAACCCCAGAGGGTTAAAAGAGACAAAGAAAGTACACATGGCGTAAATAACAAGGCTTGATACCATTTTGAAAATAAAATATGCATAAACCCACCAGTTTAAGCACTCCTCTGTTTTTTTTTTTTTTTGTTTTTTTTTTTTCAAGGCAAAGTGAAAATCATCAGCTCAAGAGAAACGGTTCCAAAAATGTCAGAGCGGATTTGCTGAATAAGTGCTCGAAAAAATGGCGTTTTGAAACAGGTAAAGCTCTACTACTTGGAAGCAGGGTAAAGCATCCCACATTAGTCTTTCATTTAGACAGAAGGTGAAATGTCTTAAGGGAAAGTTCACCCATCATTTACTCATTAAATACATCATGTATTCAATCTTATGTTATTTTAAAGCCACATTATTTTATTTTCTTACATTAAAAACAATGGTGCTTTTTTTGTTGTCTTGTTTGGAGTTTGGCTGTATAAATCGTTCATCCACTTTTCATCCAAGCTCAGATATTCTGCTTGACTTATCCATTTATGATTCACGGAAGAAGGAAATGTTATGTGTTAAGAGTAACCAATGACATAACTTTATATGGAATTTTAGGTTTCGTAAACATGTCATTTCTAAAATGTTTCCCCTGTTGTAATAGATCTTATCTTGTGTAAAATAACATATGAGTATGTTGAAGATATAAAAAAAATACAACGGGACATTGTGTGCGGGTGAGGGGAATTTAGTCTTATAGAGAACTGTGTACTTAAGTGGACTTGTTTTGCCTGTTTCCTTTTCTTAAGTGCACTTCCTGAACAGCTAAAATGCCAGATAAACTGATTATAGTGACTAATATATTTACCCAGAATTACGCAAAAGCTAGATTCAACTGATGACGAATAGTGTTGCTGTCTAAATGTTCTCACACTCATAGTCCAACTCTTTTTATTATTGTATTTCTGTAATTTTTTGTTCCAAAAAGAGATTCCCAAAAGCATGTAAAAGAACGAAACTACACTGAAATTAAAGCTGGAAATAATCTGATTTGGCAGTAGTTGATGCCAAATCTGTCACAGTCTTCGTCTGCACCATCCTGTCTGCGTCTCCAGCACTACACTTCCCAGGATCCTCTCGTCTCCACACCTGAACTCACTCCCTCATCAGCCTCCCGTTCAGCGTCCTGTTAATCTGTTACACCTGTTTTCCACCTTGTTATGTTTGATTCCCCTGTGTATTTAGTTCCCTCAGTTTCCTTCAGTCTTTATCGTTGTTACTGTTACCCTGTGTTCCGCCTGCCTGTATCCTGTTCTTTATGATTAAAACCTTTTTGTATTGGAGCTTTCTGGACTCTGCCTGTTCCTTCCGCCTGAACCCGCAACGTGACAGAACGATCGACCCCCAAATTGGGATTAAACATGGATTCCTTCGTGGCGGTTCAACTTCTCTGCCTGGAGCAGGAGGACCGGTCCCTGGAGGACCATTTGACGGATTTCCTCTCCCTCATTCCATCCACAACCTTCCCGGACGACAGCCTCTGCAGCTTTCTTTATGCTGGCCTCAACACCGCCACCAGAGCGCAGTTGTCCGGGAACGGTCCCCCGGGGAGTTTCGCAGCATATGTGGAGTGGGTGCTGGTGTCCTGCGGATCTCCCTACACCATCGATGACGGCACCAGCCCCACTCCAACGCTCGAGCCTTCCTCTCCACTGGTTCCGTCCAGCCCCGCCGAGCCGGGGCTCTCCTCTTCGCTGGTTTCGACCAGCCCCGTCCAGACCGTCCAGCCAGCGCCCGAGACCGTCCAGCCAGCGCCAGAGACCGTCCAGCCAGCGCCAGAGACCGTCCAGCCAGCGCCAGAGACCGTCCAGCCAGCGCCAGGGACCGTCCAGCCAGCGCCAGAGACCGTCCTGCCAGCGCCAGAGACCGTCCAGCCAGCGCCAGAGACCGTCCAGCCAGAGCCAGAGCCCGAGACCGTCCAGCCAGAGCCAGAGCCCGAGACCGTCCAGCCAGAGCCAGAGCCCGAGACCGTCCAGCCAGAGCCAGAGCCCGAGACCGTCCAGCCAGAGCCAGAGCCCGAGACCGTCCAGCCAGAGCCAGAGCCCGAGACCGTCCAGCCAGAGCCAGAGCCCGAGACCGTCCAGCCAGAGCCCGAGACCAGGATCCCACCCTGCCTCCCTCTCCCGCCTCCTCTCATCTGTCCCCGTTCTTCTCTCCTGCCCTTCAGCTCCCCTAAACCAGCCTGGTCCGTGTTTCCCCGGCCTTCGCTTCACACCTCCTCTATCTGGACACTTCCTCGGCCCCCGGTCCCATCGGCTCCCCCGTGGCTGCTACCTCCCTCAGCTCCTCCATGGTCCCACAGTCCACCAGCTCGGCCAGGCTCCCTCGTCCCTCCGAACTCCCTGCACTCCCTCGTCATCCTCCCTTCACCTTTGGACTTCCTTCCCTTGGCTCCGCCCCGTCATGTCACCCCCCGGTTCAGTTGGACTCCTCACTCCCTCCAGTCACCCGTCAGCCCTCACGCACTCTGACCTCACCGTGTCCCTCTGTGCCCCTGTCAGCACTTCTGTCACCAGAGCCTGCGGTGTCCCCTTGCTCCCTCAGTCCCTCCTCAGCACCCATCATCGTCGGTCCCTCAGCTACACCCTGGTCTCCTCTCCCATCCGCTCCGCCCCTGTCAGTCGGCCCCCTGGTGTTGCCAGCCCCACTACCATCGGCTCCACCAGGGGTCCTCCCTCCAGCTGCTCCGCCCTGGTCTCGCCCTCATCATGCTCCACCCTGGTCTCGCCCTCAGCCGGCTCCGCCCTGGTCTCGTCCTCAGCCTGCTCCGCCCTGGCCACGCCCTCAGCCTGCTCCGCCCTGGCCACGCCCTCAGCCTGCTCCGCCCTGGCCACGCCCTCAGCCTGCTTTGCCCTGGGGACGCCCTCAGCCTGCTCCGCCCTGGGGACGCCCTCAGCCTGCTCCGCCCTGGCCACGCCCTCAGCCTGCTCCACCCTGGCCACGCCCTCAGCCTGCTCCACCCTGGCCACGCCCTCAGCCTGCTCCACCCTGGCCACGCCCTCAGCCTGCTCCGCCCTGGCCACGCCCTGCCCAGCCCCCAGTTCGTCCCCCCTCCTTCCTCTGTTATGCGGCGTGAGGTCACGCCTCCCGGGAGGGGGGAGTTCTGTCACAGTCTTCGTCTGCACCATCCTGTCTGCGTCTCCAGCACTACACTTCCCAGGATCCTCTCGTCTCCACACCTGAAATCACTCCCTCATCAGCCTCCCGTTCAGCGTCCTGTTAATCTGTTACACCTGTTTTCCACCTTGTTATGTTTGATTCCCCTGTGTATTTAGTTCCCTCAGTTTCCTTCAGTCTTTGTCGATCGTTGTTACTGTTACCCTGTGTTCCGCCTGCCTGTATCCTGTTCTTTATGATTAAAACCTTTTTGTATTGGAGCTTTCTGGACTCTGCCTGTTCCTTCCGCCTGAACCCGCAACGTGACAAAATCTTTGCATGCAGTGTTCCGATAAAAGCCAAAATATGGGCTTTTTTGTTGTTTCAGACCAATTTCATTCAAGTAAGTCTTGAAATGTGTCTTTTCTTATTTCTCACACTTTGGGTAGGGGTTTAAATAGATGCCTGAGCCTATGCCTAAAATATTTTTTGATGATCATTTTGACTTTGATGATTAGAAAGTTTGAAATAATATATATATATATATATATATATATATATATATATATTAGGGCTGTGCAAAAGTTAATTGCGATTAATCGCATCCAAAATAAAAGTCTGTGTTTACATAATATATTTGTGTGTGCTGTATATAATTATTTTGTATATATAAATACCTATGCATGCATGTATATATTTAAGAATTATTTGCTCTTAAATTCTGTATATATTTATAAATACATAATCTATATTATATAAATATACATATTTTATATATGAATAACACATTTTCTTAAATATATACATGCATGTGTGTGTATTTATATATACAACATAATTATATACAGCACACACAAATATATTATGTAAACACAGACTTTTATTTTGGATGCGATTAATCGCAATTCATTTTTGCACTGCCCTAATATATATATATATATATATATATATATATATATATTATAAATAGTTCAGTTATGAAACTCTAGAGGGCCCAGACTGAGCAGTCCATTACATGCAATCTGCCATGCATTTATTACTTATGACACAACCTGATTGGCCTCTGCTAATCCTGCAGCCAATGAGATTGCTTTCTTAAGATTTAAATAGTCTGGTTCAGTGTTTGCTATAAGAGTTCTTCTGAAACCCTCCTCCTCCCCCAGCTCCACCTGCCTCTTTCCTACAGTACTAATGTATGTAGCAGCAGATCTTACATGCTCACAGCAGCGTGTGTGTGTGTTATCAGCAGCAAGTTTCTACTTGCTCTGCAGCAGCAGCAATAATCAACAGCAGCAGCAGATCTATTCCGCCAAGACCTAATACATTAAATTATTCAATAACATAACAAACCTATTCAGAGAGTTGTAATGATTAAATATCTTTACTAAAAGTTTTTGATTTAATGCGTCCTTAAATACTGACTCCGATGTATTTTGAAATGTAGTTCACAGAACGCTGCAAATTCCTGACTATTTTTATATTATATTTGTCCATGTATCTCACAGGAAGTCACTGGATAGGCGTACCAGGAGAAATCCGTGGCTATGAACGGGCTCATCAATTGTATGGAAAGCTGCCCTGGGCCCAAACTGTTCGAGCCCTCCATCAAGCTTGCACGAGAAGGATTCCCCATGCCA